CAATTTCCACCATGTGAGAAATGTTGTTTTGCTCTGTGGTTTTTTTTTTTTTTTTTTTTGGCCCAGGGCTCTCTAAATGTCGAAACACACAATGGTCTGCCTTTGAAATGGCCTTTCCTAATTCTGAGGGACGATCACTCATTCCTCCGTGAAACCGTACAGTCTATGTTCTTCTTTACCCAGAGTCTTCTTCAGTTAGTCCTTCCACTAAATATAGCTATTTAATAGCTAGCTGTTCTTTCCACTTGAGATTATATTTTCTATAAATAACACCGGCAAGGAGCAAACACGAAGGAAGGCAGCATGGTTGGCTGTGAGGGCAGGCGCTCTGACCCAGGCAGATGCTGTGACTCTTGCCCCACTTAAAGGCATGCATGCTTAGACAAAATCCTCACCCCTTCAGGGCCCCCTCTGTATAATGGGGACACAAATCTCAAAAGCTTTTTCAGTCTTTTCCACAGAAGTACTCCCTGTCCAGGACTCCATGTCCAAACTTCCTTGCCATTCCATAGTCATCCTAAACATTTATGTCAGTTCTGTATACCTTTCCTCAATGTACTCAAATTTGTTTTAATATACAAATCGCATCTTTCCTCTCGTATCTTCGAGTGAAATTCATGTTCCAGAGAGGCTTTGCATACCTCTAGCATATTCCAGGATACCTCCAGGAGGTACCTATACTTTATAAGTGTGGTTGTTAAAATGACACTCGGGTTGAAAATATTCAGCAGGTATGTGTAAATAAGAATATAATGGCTGTTAAAATATTAAAACACCTTTCTATCAACTGGTAAGTAACTGCTTCCAAGCCTTTGAGTGGCGTCCATTTCTCACATTACCTCTCTCCCCAGATCCTTGAACTGCATGGTCCAGGAACTAAAGGGACCTTCAGGACCCTCCCTATTCTGATTAGCTGGTGGCCTGCACCATCCATCCTGTTAAATATTTTGAATATCATCCCACATTACATGTAACATATATGAAGCTCCTGGCACATACTCGGCACTAAATAAGCAGTAGGCATTTTTAGTCCTGTGGCTTTGGGAATATATATTTTGAACAGCACTGTGGCCAGCATCCCTCCCTCCCCCGCTCGGGACCCGGTATTCCCTCCCTACCTCCCGAGGTTCTGGTGAGGCTTCCAATCGCAGCACTCCTCCCTCCAGTAGCTCTGGAGATGGGCGGTGATATAGGTCTGGAAAATCCCAGTCCCCGTTTCCTGGTAGGCATGTGCCTATGACTAGGAGTAAGTACTTGACCCAGGATGGATCATTCAGAGTCCACCCCTAGACTTCTGGGTATAAATGCAGGACTGAGAAGTTTCTTGTCCTGCCTTGAAAGGAGCTGTTCTGTGTACTGGGGTCCAGAGACACTCCTCTGGAGTCTGAATGAACTGGAAGGATGTGGTCAGAGCTTCTAGTGGCCCTGACCATGTAATGAAGGAAGAGCCTGAGAAGTGACACACAGACAGAAATGGGTGAATGGAGGCAATGAGAAAAAGAGAAGCCCTGATGATATTGTCTGGGGACCAGACCCAATTTCCATCCTGGTCAACAGTGATTCTCAAACCTGGGTGTGTATCGGCACCACTGGGAGAGCCAATGAGGAATCCCAAGGCCCAGGCTCGTCCACGTGCGACAGAGCTGATTCCTCTGTATTTCTGCCGTCTTCCAGGTGATTTGGATGCACAACCGAGGTTGAGAACTACAGCCTTACAAGCATGTGATCCCATGCATCTCTTCTGTTGCCGTAGTTACTTAGGTTTCCTATAGGCAGAGATAAAGAAAAGCAGTTAGCCCTCTGGGGCACCAGACAAACAATGAATGAAACGAGCCTCTGGTCAGTCCCAGTCTCCCTGATGTTGGGTAGCTTAGTGAATTGTGGTTTTTGCTCATGATGAATATATTCTCCATGGACTCAGTGTTGGCCAGAGTGAGGGGATGAAGTGGCTAAGACAGGAGTGACACCTTCCATCTTCTTGGGCTCCCCTGCACTACAATTATCTGATGGGCTTTCCCTGCCTTGCCTTACCCTCTGAAACCCCAGCAGTAGCCTTGGTGCTCCCGGCTTCCGTTCCTGACCACCCCGTGCCTTTCCCATGTGGTCCTGTGAGGCGTGCCACACCTCCTTGTCTAGGACCTGGGGGTGTAATAAACTTTATTTTCTCCCTTCCCTATCTTCTCTTGTAAAATATACAAAACACCTTGGGATTAGTCCTCAGAGGAAACAGATGAAAAGCCCAATTGTTTGCCACATTTTAATAGCACCTCAGTGCATCGTCCCTGTCACATTCCACTTAATTATGTTGTGCAGTACATCATAGCGTGTGAGGTACAGAAGTCAATAATCAACACACTCCACTCCCGGCTTCCCAGAGCCAAGGTATCAACTGGGACTCATTCTGTTACAAGCGACAGACAACTTGATACATAGAAATGGTTTTGATTTTAAAAAATCAATGTAGCTTTTAAAAAAATAAAAAGGAATGTAATTGCTGAAAAGTCCATGGTTGAGCTCGCCTCAGGCATGGCTGGATTTGGTTCAAGTGATAATATGAGGACTTGCTATCAGTCCATCTCTTGGCTCTGCCTTCTTTTATGGGGCCTCTGCCGCAGCTGCATGTGATAGCAGTAGCTCCATCCCTCACAGTTGTCTCAGGCTCCAGGATCAGTGGGTAAGAATAGAAATCATAGTCCAGAGAAAAATTTCTCATTAGCCCTGGCTGGGTCATATGATCACTCTAAACTAATTGCAGGGAAATGCAGTGGACTGATAGGCCCTGGATCACATGACCACTTTGAACCAAGCTCAGGAAAAATTGCATCACTCTGGGTCACATGACCACACTATACCAATCACTGGGAATGCACTGGATTAATGGTCTAGCCCTGGGACACATGACCACCCTTGGAGTAGGGGCCTAGGGTCCTGTGCAGGGCATGGAGTTGGTTTTATAGGAATTACAATTCATTAAGAGTGGGAAAGGATGACTTTAAAGAGGAAATTAGGACACACTTACTAGACAGAGTGAGTGAATGCCAGGCAGTAAAATCAACAGATGTCTACTACAGTTGGACTGTTGTCATTTTATTTTAGCTCTGTTGGGAAAAGGCCAGTAAGAACAAATTCAGCAAGTCACAGACTCCCACTGAGGAGAAGAAACATAAGAATCTAAGGAGCTCAGCCTTTTTTCTCTAAATAGGACCGAGTTTATGCTATCGAAGACAGATGCTTGTTTATTCTGTGCTGAGAGCTCTCCAGCCTAAAGTATTCCAAATATCCTTCCATCTGCAGATCATTCTAGGGCTTTGCAGTTTTTACTAGTTAATGAGAAAATTGGAGGAGGGGCGATTTAAAAAAAAGTAATAAATATGTTTGGAGGAAAGCTAAAGGGCTAAGTTATTTCACCATTCTGGAATTTAGAGCAATAAAAAAGTAAACAGTTTTATTGGCTCAAAGGAGAATCCTTTCATCTATGAAATAACTTTATTTGGGTTATTTTGGCATCTTGAGAGACTTTCCTTGTGGCTCTATTATAAAATAGCTTCTCATGTTTTTATTATATAATGTCTTGTTGGGCCTTATGGCATGAGAAATTATTTGCTGCATTTAGTTGCTGTGTGATGGAGCTTTTCTATCATTTACATGTCCTTTGGTATACTATTAATTTACATCCTCTCCAGAAATGTAATTTTGAAAGCAATCTTTATTAAAATTTCTTATAACATAAATTTGAGATAATTGGATTGAAGGCGCGTTTACTCAAATTGCCCATGGCAATGCAATTTTATGGGTTTCAAAAGCAGGACAAATTTTTAGAACTGGTACCCGATGACGAACATTTGAAGATGACTTTTGATCTCTGGGAAAACTTTTGTTCCCACAGAACAGGTGAAATCAATTCTCTGATAAGTCGATACTGATAATGATTTAATGAAACTAATCTTTATGAATTGAAAAGGACATTTTAAAAAAATCTTTCTAACCAAGCTTGAGAGACTGGTGGATTTTCATCACCAGAGATGAGATGTTACCTAGAAACTGCAAACTTAGGACAAACTGGGGAGTGCTCTTGTGGTGAGTAATCCCAGTTTTTGAGTTTCATTCTTCCACTCTGTTTACGGAGTAGCTTCAGGTATCATTTATGGAGCACATATCCATATGATTTATTATGGTCTAGACTATCTTCTCTATGAGGCTAAATTCTTAGGAAGAACAAAGTATGCAAAGAAGTTTGCCTGCCTAGGAAGGAAGCTGAGTAGGCAGTTGCCCTCAATATAATTCAAAGAATGCTATAAGGGATCCTGTCTAGATGTTAAGGTCCCGGTATTCAACCAGTATTGTTCGGTGAAGGAAAAAATAAATAAAGGAATCAGCATAAATTCATCTTGCAGACGAAATTAGATAAGCACCTTGTACACATTCTTCTCACTCCTAGCTGGGTCTGCTTTTATCAGTGCTACAGCAGCGACAGTTGTCATTAAAGAATATCATTCCAGAATCCAGAAAAGAATGTGTCCATCCAGAGATAAAATTAACTGTGAACTGTGATAGAGTTTTCAAGAGAACATGAAATCAGCTCTTTGAATTATGAAAAGCAAAAACATAATTCTCTTTTTGCATCATACTGGCAGAATTTCTATCTTACTGAGAAACCCACCACCTCTATGTCTAAGTAACTGACACCCCCAAACATACTAGTCACAGAGGGCCTATGGATTGTATTACTCCAGGGGCAGCATATATAGACACCACCATGTGTATATGGCACCCTGCAGTTTGCAGCCCAGCGCCCGCATAGCTATTCTATTCAGCATCCATTGTTCATTTTTTACTTGTTTAAAGCCGAAATTTTTAAGAGGGCTTGATCTATTTTTTTCAGATCTTGATCTCATATTCCTTAGTAGGTTTGCACAAAAGCGTTGCTGTGAATAAATGCCTTATTTTGACTTTCTCCCTTCTTTTTTTTTTTTCCTTTGGTTCGTGGGGCTGGAACTCAGGAAGAAGATGAATCCCAAGAAGAACCTAGATGCCTCCAGTTGGAACAGAGGACGACGTCAGGTAGAGTACATTCCGTGTGATGCCTCCTTTCCTGAGCTGCCGTTGCTGACAGCAAGGCTCGCAGCATCCTTTGCAGATTGCAGCGGAAAGTCTGTATGCTCCAAATGATCGGAAAGATGACTAGAAATGTCGCTTATGATGTATTATTCCAAGCATGACATCTGGACAATCTGGTCATGATGCAGAAAATGGCCTTTTCTCTTCTTTTATTGATTACAATTCTTGATGAATCAATACTTGAAGTAGATGATGATAACGATGACGAAATTTCAAATTCTGTAATACTAAAATAAGAAGCATAGTTATTCACTGAAGTACTTATGATTACCTTCAAAATGTTATTAGATACATATGCTGGGTTTTTTTTTTTTATTTGTATATAGTTAAATATGCAGCTTTGTTAAGCTCTTTACTCCATAACAGGACTTCCTATGAGATAATAAAGAAAGAAACTAATGATGAGTGGGTTTATAACTTTGCTTCTGTATGATCAGTATGATCAGTAATGAAAATGAGATATAATGGTCATAAAAATAAACATTACTTGAATTGACCTAATAAGAATGAAAGCTAAACCTTAATACTCTCAGCTTCTATTTTTCCATGGCTTTTCGCATAGGGCTTCATATGATTAGAGGTTGGAAGAGGGTTCCAGACGTGTCTGCTGCTGGTGGAGGCTCATTGTCTTGTGATTTAATGGAAATCAGGGAGCAGAACTACGAAAATGGAAACGGTAACAAAAAGAATATGCAAAGTGAGAAGGGAAAGGTTGTACTCTGCTCTGATATAGATGGAGGAGAATTAGCAATTAACCAGCTCCTCCATCTCCCTCTGCACCCCTCCCGTGTCTGCCTCCACCTTCAACAAGCATTGCTCTGGTTTAGTGCCCCTTTGTAGGACACTCTCCCCTTGCAGATCCTTGCGTGGCCAGCATCATCTCATCAATCAGTCCTCAGCTGAAATGCCTAGGCCCACAGGCCACCTTATCATTCCTCCAAATCACTCTTCATTCCATTGCCCATTTTTATTTCTATTTTTTGTAACACTTATTATGAACCAAAATAATCTTTCTATTGATTGGTTTATTTACCGATTGTCCCCTAGAAAGTAGGGGGACCTTGCCCGTCTTCTTAGCACCTTGGACAGTGCCTAGCACACAGTAGTCATTCAGTAAGCTCTCACTGAGTCCCTTGTGTCCACTGTATGCAAGACATTCTCTTTCTCTCTGCAATGGAGATGAGAATGGGGTGGGCTTGATGTGAGCCAACTCCATGCCTATTTTGGATTTCTGGGATATAAAAGCGAATAAGACATGATGCTTGCCCTCAAGAAAACATATTACGTCTGAGAAACAGACAGGGCTAGAACATGAGAAATCATGTGAAAAGATGGGTGCAGTCAGAGCCCGGCTAGAGCACCCACGAAGGGCCCGCTAAATCTGTGTGGGGGAAGCAGGCTGCGAGAAGTCTCCTGCGGTTGTGATTCTTGTGATGCATTTTGGAGTTTGAAAGTAGGCATCAGAGGGCAGGGTTGGAACTTGCATATCATGCCCTGAAAATTGTCCCGAGTGCCACTTTTGCACACTTACTGTTGATTTTCAGTTCCACAGCTAGAGAAGGCTGGAAGGATGGCCATTGCTGGCTCAATGCAAATTTGGCCAACCAAGTGACTTTGGGTTTCCCCGTTGTGGTTATAGATGGTATTATTCGCTCTCTTGGCATAGTATCTCCTATATTTTGAGTATATTCATTCGTTCACATCGAAAGCCTCGATTAGGTCACATGTTGTAAAGGCGCCATGACTCCCCAAGGCTTTTCTAAGACATGAGTTGACTTAGTGAACTCTACCATGACACCCTGGGATGAGAAATCAGACACTCCATTTTCAAACAGTCTGCTACGGTTCCTAGAGCGTCTGGCCCTTGGAACATGTTATTAGAAATCTGGTATAGTGATAAAGACGCCCCTCAGCCAAGACATTTAGAGTCAGAGATCCCAATGGAACATAATGCCACAGAAAAGGAGGAACACGGTTTAGTTAGAAATCTGTACTTCCAATTTCCTTGTGATTGTGTTATGTGGTTTTAGATTTTGAATTGTGAATAAATGGCTTATTTCCTTGTTTTCTTCGAAAACACCTAACAACCCTATTCTCTAAGTAGAATTTAAAGCAGAAAATGAAGAGTTTCTCATTATTTCTAAAAAAATGCTTGGGTCTACTGACTTTAGGGTGCGCTGTGGAGTTCCTCTTCTTTACTCAGGACGCACTCCAAATGTGTGTTTCTACATTGTGATTTTAGTATACTCGTGTCTTTAGTTTTAGTCCATTCAATTCAGATCTACTGTATTTATTAACCATTCTTCGAAATCCTGTTCTGCATAAGTTGTGTACTAGATTCTTTGAAAAGTATGAACATATAATACATTAACTTACAACATGTTCACTGAATGTCTAATACGTGCTAGTTGCTGTGCTAGGAATTATGTTTCATGTAGAATGGTAAATAAAAACAGACATGACTCCATGTTTCGTGGAGCTTGTGGGAAAATGACAAACATTGCCATTATACAAATGATAAGAAAATACAAATTATAGAGAACTTATAGTCTTTAAACAAGTAACGTAGATGTTATAGTCAAGGCGGGGTGCGGTGGAAGTCTTGCCTTCACAGAGCTTGTAGTAAAATAGAATCTGTAAAACATGGACACAGAAAGCTGAGACTAAAGATAGGATATGGTATGGCCTAAAACAGAGACAGGAGGAGGGAGGAATGGGAGTGCTAAAGAGGTGAGAGATTCAATTTGGGTGGTCCAGGAAGTTATTTAAGAGATCGTGGCATATGAGCTGGGTCCTGAAGGATGGACATGAAATCCATTTGTGAAGAAAGACACGTTAGCCAGGGTGTTTATAAAGTGAAAGTGAAATACTGTAAGTTGAATCCAAAGTGATATCTCTTTGGAGTCCAGCCCATTTTTTGGCTGATGACCTAATCCTTAGGCATCAGTCACTTTATCTGAGGTCTGTAATTTACACTTGCAGGACCCACCCACACAAGGGATAATGACAGGTTGATCAGGAATGTGTTTAAACTTTACTACTGTCATTACCTATGCTTTGCTCTCTAATGGTTCAGCGTCTCTGTACATTTGAGTTTTTTTCTGGGGTTTTTTTGTTGTTGTTTTGTTTTGTTTTGTTTTTTTAGTAAGTGGCCTGCCTGTAATAGACAGAAGCCTAATGCCTACTCAGAATCAGGTGACATTTCCTCTTGACTTCATGGATATATTAGCTGAGGGGATAGGGTAGCCCACTTATAAGTCCTTTTTAATGTGATACAGTGTGGGGTGGCTGTCGGCTGGTCCTCCATTTCAGCAAGGCCAGCGAGGGGCAGGTTCATCAGATGGACAGTGTACCTTTGCCTCCTGCCTGTCCCCTCCACGCCTAGCTCCTCCTCAGTGGGGAGGAGCACATTGGCCTCCAGTTTCTCTGCCATCAGAAGGACATGCAGTCAGGCACATATACCTTGGTTCATATCATATCCTGTGTTACCTCTTCTTCAGCCTATTGGTATTTTAAGCTGCAGATCTACCTGTGGAATGAAAAACATTTGGTGGCTCTTAAAGAGATTTGAAGCATCAGCAAACCGGTAAAGAAGAGGGGGCATTTCTAGCCGTAGTCACAATGCATGGTTAGCCACTTTCTTGACCCAAGCACAGGAAGGCCCGGAATCATGGGGACAGTCAGAGAAGACTCCACCAGACTATGTGTTCCTTAGAAGCTGTGTCCATTTACAAGTGATGTTGGATCCTTTATTAAAAGGTGCCGTTTTAAAGATGCAGTGCACCCTTTTGATATAACATCCTATGTGAAAATAAAGAAAGAGATACAAAACTGAACCTGGGCTATGCACAGGTAAAGGAAGAACGAGGTTATAGGCCCATGAGAAACGGCGATGGAAGTGGAAGTATCACGGAGGAAAGATGTCCATACTTCAGTGTTCCTTTGATGTGCTCATGATGCTGTTCGTATAATAAAGAAATGAAAAACAGAGATGCTTTACTAATAGTTACATGAAGAGGTTATAATTCCAAACAGAGATAGCTGTATGTCTGCAAGAAGGCACAATTTGAAGCTTGACAACATAACCCTCTGAGGATAAGCCAATCTTTGGGCCTAGCCGAGGACAGGGGAAGGAATCAGTTCACATGTTCTCACCGGGTTTCTGCCTCATTTTTCAGCAACTGCTCTGTTGAAGTTGTGAGGCCCACCCCCTCTCAGGTCTTTCTTTCCGTGGGGAGTCATTCTTTCCTTTTCGCCTTCCCACAGAATCTGTTCCCTTCCCAGAGCCTTATATGGTTACTGTGACGTTCTTTTTTAGAGAAGTTTTATGATGAGACCTCACTTAATCTCTTTCTATTCCACTGAAAGTCCCTTCGAACAAGCCGAGTATCACACATACATACAACAGCCTGGAAGAGGCATCACTACTGAATAAGATTAAAATTGAACATTACTTTTTTAGTACAGAGACTCAGGCTTATAGCTGACATAAAGAAACCACAGATCTTGCCCATACTAATCTTATTTGTAGCCAAAAAAAAAAAAAAAAGATATAGTACCAGTTTTCTAGAGAGAAAGAGATGAGCAATCTTTCAGAGGTGGCACATCTTAGTTTAATTTATTCATTCATTCCCTTGTGGGCAAGGAACTGATGAATGGGTCAGCTATGTTTTCTGGAGAGAATTCTTTTAAAAAATGAATTGCATCCTTTCTGGTGGCTCTGTTTAAAAAAAAGTAAAAAGTGTTTTTAAAATGTTGGCTCAGTCTTGCCATTTCTGTTGCTATGCATTGATTTAGAAGCAGGCCAAGTAGTTTTGAATGCTGAAATATCTTTAAATGTGTTTAAAATTCAAGAAGACTTTGTGTAATACTTATTAGCTTTTGGGCTGCACTCACCCTGTGCTGTCAGGACCCCAGAGTACAGCACTTTGATCAAAAGAGGG